AATACAGAATTCCAGTAAAAATATACTATGTCTGTGAAACATGGTGAATCCAAAGTTATGGTATGGTACTGTTTTTCATATAATAGTGTCAGGGCGCAACAAACCAACGAACAATTTAAAAAAAAAACAGAAAAACGAACGTCAAGTTTCTTTACTTTTGCTTATGCAATTGTTGGAGTTTGTTTAAAATTTTTAAAAACAAATACGCTATTTCAGCTAATTTTTTTTCCAAATAATTATGCGATTGATAGTATTTTATTTGTTATAAAAAACACATATTTATAAAAAACAATTAGTAAAATTTAAAAAGGCACTTTAATGACTTTCAAAGAAACCATCCTAAAAAATGATTATTTTTTTCAATAGAGTTACTTCCATTGAAAAAAGTAATTATGTTATAACTTAGTTTTTGCATGCGCTAACAAAAGCATGCAAAACTTTAAATAAAATGAAATTTAAAATTACATTAAAACTACATTACCGTGCTTAAACTTTACAATTGTTTTTTTTGCTTTTGTTAAATTTTCTTATCTTCCTTAAAGTAAAGTAATTCTTGTTTGTATATAAAAACACTTTTAAAAAATTTAAAAAGAATTTTTAAATTTTGCTGAAATGTATAAACTCTAATAGAATATATAAAATTATTATGTTTATTATAATTTTCATTTTTTATTGTGCATTTAACAACACCAACAATATATTTTTTTAAACTTATTATTAAATACTTAACATATTATTTTTAAAAGTTAAAAAAAAAATGGAAAAACAACTTTTATATTATTTTTAGATCCTTTTATTTTAATTTCTTCAAGTTTATGCACTTTTTTATTAGTATACATTTTATTAGTAATGTTAACGAACTTAACAATCCACTATTTAGTATCAATGGAATTACAATTTACAACAGTTTACAATTAAAAGCAGAGTGACCATTGCATTGGCTTTTACCTAGAAGAACGCAAACTAAACTAATAATAATAAGTTTGGCGGTGCGCACTCCTACAAAAAATTGGGACAATGGTCATCCAAATCATTATGTCTTTGCATATTAACTATTGTTAATTTGCACGCGCACTTTGCAAATGTTTAAAAAATTAAAAAAAAAAAAAAAATTGATTAAATTCAATAAGCATCTTTGATATATCTTATAACTTATTAACTAAAATAAAAATTATTTGGAAATAAAACTTTTATGTCTCTTGAATTAGACATTTGCCAATAGTTTAAGATACAAATGTCAACGCTCGTTAAAAAAAAAAACGATTTTTCCCACCCTGGGTGTAGAACCTATTCATAAGATTAATGGTATTATGGACCAACATATAAATGTTGGTCCATGATACCAATATCCTCAATAATGTCATGCGGTCCTATGCTAATGAAAATATGCTGCTAAACTAGGTTTTTCATCATGATAATGATCTGAAATACACTAATCTAAAGGCAAAGGAGTGGTTTCAGGCCAATGGGGTTGAGGTTATGGAGTGGCCTGCTCAGTCACCTGAACACAACCTCATTAAAAATTTATGGGGAGATGGGTAAAAAGCAGATTCTGCTGCTAATCCAACTAATGCTCAGCAGGTATGAGAAGCTATTCAACAAGTGTGGTGCACAATACCTTAAAGATGTCAACACCTAGTTGACTCAATGCATCAGCATTGTAAAGCCTTCATTCAAAACAAAGGTTTTGCAAAGAAATACTAAGTGTAAATATTATTAACACATTTTTTTTGTCATATTTAGATATCACTGCTATTTCAATGATTGCAACTTTTTTTGATATTGACATTTTGTTTCTGAAATAAAATGTAAAACAATACCATTGACAAAATTTTTTTTACTCAATTCAATTGAAGTATTAAAATACGATTTTTTTCGGTAATTAGTAAAAAAAAATTTTTTATAAGTTTTCAAAAATTCCAGGTGCTGCTATTTTCATGCTTATAACTGTACATAGGAATCTATTGTACATAGTAATTGCAAGCCTTTGCTATAATCCCGAAACCCCAGGATTGTCCATTATCATTCTCAGGATTCCATTTAAGATTGAAAAAAACAAAGCGTAGTGAAAAAATATATAAAAATGACAACAGCTTATGTGCATCAATAAAATAATTTTTATTTAGTATAAAATTGCAAAAATTAATTGTAGTTTCAGTTGTACAATAAAAAAATTATTATTTTATTTTATCAAAAAGGTTGGATTTAGAGAAGAAAAAAAGTCAAAATCCTCGCAATATATCACGCTAGTTAGCATATACACAATTTAAAAATTCATTTAAAGAAATAAATAAAGAAATAAATTTTATAAAGAGATTAATAAGCTTTAAAATAACAATGAAAAATGTTATAACATGTTTGTGGTACTTGCAATATCCACACTTTGCATTATTATACAACAGTTTATATTTATATTATAAAAATTCGTTATATAATACGAATTTATATTGTTTGTAAAAAGTTATTTACTTAAACACTTTTTTAAATATTGGAAGTAATAATATTTTTGAATAGCTTAGTTGTTGTTGTTAGATGTTATGTTCTGTTCTGCAATTCTGCAAAATAAACTTCTTTTGAACTGGAAAAAAAAGCGCATTTCTTTCAAGGTAGAATCTTAAATAAAAAATAAAATAAGCATGACGTGTGTGGATTTTACAGGTTTTAAATTTTTAATAGCTTAGTTACTATTGTTAGTTATTCTGTTCTGTTCTATAATTCTGTATAACAAACTTTTTTCAAATTTAAAAAGATAGACTCAGCTGTTTGGTAATAATTTCTATGGGATGAGAAAGGTCAGACAGCTAGATGTAAGTTGCTAAATTGCAAGAAGATTTTAAAAATCGATGATAGTTGATCAAAAGGACTTGACAAACACATGTTGTCGATGCATAATGTGGAGGTCGAAGGTCCAACCCAACCTAATATTACCTAAGAAATGACATCAGATAAACCAACAAAAAAGAAATCTAAATCACTAACAGAATACTTTTTGATTTATGAAAAGGAAGATAAAATACTACACTTATTAAATTACATTAAATGAGGTCTGATGGGCTCTCATTTAATGTGATTTGTTCTTCAACAGATTTATGTGCTAACTGCTAAGGGATTCAAAAATCTACCAATAATCAGTAAACACAACTCTTAATCATGTAGTAAAGTACAGCAAAAAAATGTGACATTGTGGCTATAATGATTGACAGAGTTTTATGAAAAAAGTTGGAAAGTGCTGGCTACTAATTAATAATTATGTTTTGCCCACGGCATACAACTTGCTGTAATTGATGTTCTTTATAAAAAGAAAGAATTCAGTGGAACTCAGTTAGAATTTGAAAATGAATTTTCTGACAGAGAATTATCCAAGAATGAGGAAATTGAGGAAGATTTTCTTGGCTACATGTATCAAAATGTAAGACCTAAAACTGAACTAAATGAATTTCATTATAAACCAGTCATAAAAAAAGTACGCAATTTGATACTAATATTTAGACAATCGCCTACCAAGAACAACATCTTACAAAAATATATTAAGGCTGTTTTTAACATGGTGACTGTCTTTAATATGGTGACTGCAAGACTCGGTAAAGTAGTCTTCAGTTAATGTTTAAATGATTTTACAAAGTAAAAAATTGTATACAAAAATTATTAATTAATACTTACCCAGTCCAAGATAATTCTGTCATATGATGAAGTGACAATATTATCAGAGATGATTACAACTTTAGTTCCCATTAAAACAACAGTTGAAGCACTTTGTCAATGAGATTCTAATCTATTTACAGCCAACATTGCTACTAATTTTATGCTTACAAAATTGAAAGATGCTGACAATAACACAAGCAACCAAATGCATCCAGCATTAATGGTTTGCATTCATGAATCTTGAACTGATATGAGTGGACAACTGCAAAACCTGCATAATGGTCGAAGCTCTATTAAAGTCTATGAAAAAATAATTACAGCATCTTCTTCATTTAAATGTTAAAAACTTTTGGTAAAATTGCTGGAAAGATTAAACGCTTCCAATACTGCACTAAAGCATCAGTTGAGTCTGATATGCTGGACTCGATTGAGGAATCTGAAATGTTACCTGAGTCTGTAAGTTATCCTTTAAGTATTGAAGAGAAACTTGATAATGTAATTAAAGAAAGAAAATCACCGATGTAACCAGTTAGACCCAAGCTACTGTTATCAAAAATCCGAAAAAAATGACACTATTTAAAAATAGGGGTACATGTGGTGATTATTTAGAAAGAGCTTAATGATTTCTAATGACAGTGAAATTGACAAGCGTTGAGGCTGAGCAGACATTTTCTTCGCCTAGATTGTGCAATACAAAAATTTGTAATTGTTTGAGTGATGAAACTTTGGACGCGTTGTATAAAATATCCTTATTTCTAACATATATTTTTAACATTAACTAACATGTGAAATTAATATGTTTTTCTCCCATGGATGTATCAATGTAATTTAAACTGTCTTCATTTAATAAATATGTTTTGGTTAAAAATGTACTGTTTTTATTCTATTTAATATTATGTAGATGTTATATCTGTTTTTCAATCCCGGGATTGATATTATTTAATCCCAGAATCCTGGGATTGAGAAAGATCCCTGGGATTGCAATCCCTAATTGTACATAGGAATATACATCTATTTTACATAGTAATATACATCTATTGTACATAGGAATATAAATCTATTGATACAGAAATATTAAATATGTGTAAATATATTTAACAGGTTTTGATTAGGCTAAGTTACAGTTTAAAATTGAAAACATTTTTAAAATAAATTCCATATTTAAATTTCAAAGTTATAAAAGCTCTATATAAATTTTTTGCAATAAAAAAGACTTGTAGATCTAATAGATAATATTCATTACTAATGATATAGATACTAAAGTTTGGTGGGACTATCTAGTTTCTATTTTAAGTATATAGGCCCTCACAGTAAATTGCAAACAAAGAAAACTTAATATCTTAAATTAAAATTTCAACCTGTGGCTGCCATGACGAGCATCATGACCAATAACAACACCGTCATTTTTCAAACTTACAAACTCTTTTGTGAGATACTGATGAAGACCCTAAAATACATGAACAGTAATTACAATAATATAAAGTCCAAGAAAAAGTAAAAGAAGTGCAAGTGCAAGAAAAAGAAGTGCAAGAAAAAGAAAAAGAAGTACAAGAAAAAGAAAAAGAAGTGCAAGTAAAAGAAAAAGAAGTGCAAGTAAAAGAAAATGCAGTAATATAAAGTTGAATTTTAAAACAAGAACCTATATTAGGATCCTGTTGTAAAACTAATATTTTACACAAACATAAACTATTAACTTTTATATTATATGGTAGATCTAAATCATTTTTTATAAGACAGATCTAAATTATTTATTATAAGGTAGATCTAAATTACTACTTTTTACCATTTAGATAGTGTTTTTAAAATAAAATAAATTTTAAATAAAGTAAATCAAAGTACTAAATAATTTTAAACTTGTAAAAGAGCGTAAACTATTTAAGAAAAATTTGAGGTTAAATCAGTGAGAGAAGATTTGTAATAAAAATATATATGTGTGTGAGCAGCTAAGGTGTTTATTAAAAATGAATTCAAAAACATAATAATGTTATAAAAATGTTTCCATTAGAAGACAAAAAAAAAATTATTTATGAAAAAAATTTATTTATGGAAAAGAGTTGAACTTGCAACCTCTAGCAAGCTCTCTACCACTACACCACTACCGCTTTTGCAAATATTATATTTTAAATCATCTCATCTATCATTTCTAATAAAGCTGAAATAACACTTAAAAAATATAAGAAAAAATATGCAACATATAGACTTTCCACAGTTTCTTTTTTTTTCAAACTTTTTTTTAACACTAAGCAAAATTCTACCAACATAAACCAACACTAAGCAAAACTCTAAATTTCATTGGATAATCAAGCAAAGATGGTATTCGGTGGACAAAACCCCCAAATTAATGAAATGTTAACATAAATATTTAATACATGCTATTTGTCAATTATACAGAGCAGAAAGGATTTCTTTTGACATGCAGAACATTGTCAAAAAGTTCTTTCACACATAAGCAAACAAGTAATTCAAAAATTCAATTTTTTTAAATATGGGTGCTCTAGACAATGACCTTTTTGTTAGTAATATGGGTACTCCAGACAAATTCCATTATGCAATAATATTATTGATTTATACAATTCTTTTGTTTCTTTGTTTGTTATTTAAAAAAAATTATTTTTTTTGATTGTGGGTGAATTTAATTATTTAGCATCATTTTCATGGGTTAACTTTCCCTCAAAAAATTCTTTATAGCTTCAGTCATTGTTCTTATAAGCTATTTCTATTCCTTAGGTTCCAATCTCCATATTAAAAAAATACTTCCCTCACCTCTGCACACTTTAAGGTGAGTTTCCACTCATCCGTTTTTCTATGGGAACAGGATAGGAATGGGAAAAATAGTCAATTGAGCATGCGCAGTTTTAATTCGGACAAGTTAAAACTTATAATACGCATGCCCACGTGATTATTTTTCCCTTCCCTTTCCCATTCCCGTGAAAAAACTGTTGAGTGGAAACTCACCTTTAGAGAATTGGAGGTTTCCATAGTTCCATTCTAATTTGAAAATTTTAAAAATAACAGTTCATAAAAAGTGTTGGAATGTTTACCTGAGTTGTTTGAATTATTGTTAAATCATTCATCCTTGAAAAGCCAGCACCCATTGCACCTCGTAATCCTAAATGAAAGTAAAAATTTAAAAATTTAAAGTCAATTATATTTTAAAACTTTTTAAAAGTTTTAACCAAATTACCAGCAGTGCCAAAATCTAGTCTTGTCAACAACATTTTTGCTAAATCATCATAGTTAGTTGCCAAAACATGCTTCTTGATTTCATTAAAAGTAAACTCATTCTAAAAACATTTTTTAATTTTATTCAGTAACTTTCAATAATAAATTTAAATTTTTAAAATTATTAAATAATTATTATCAAAATAGCAATATACAAATAATAAATACTTGCCACTAGCAGCACTATAATTATGTTGTTGTTTTGGGTATTTTCAAGATTCAAGGTAGGATTAAAGGTAAGAAATAATTATTCATTCCTAGATACTTTCTGATATTTTCAAATTACATTTAAAATTATCTTAGCATTTAAAAACTATGAAAATATTTAATTAAAATTTGCCTCTTGTTTGTATAATCAAATACATTTTATGACAATAAATTAATAAAAAATGAATGATAAAGTCATTTATCTTTTGTACAAAACAAAAAATGTCAGGTCATAATTTGGGTTTAGTAGTTACATAATATTATGGGTGTACCGGAATGAAAATTTTGAATTCTGGCTGGAACCGGATTTGCCAGAATTGTTAACAAAACTCCGGCCAGAATTCCAGCTGGAACAAGAATTATATTTATGTAATTTTTTACCTTCAAGATTAAAAGTGAAAACCTGCACCTCAGCATCATGGCTACATGATGCGTGAGTAGTGTAGTGGTAAAACGCTTACTTCATGGTAAAGTGAGAGGTTGCGAGTTCAATTCCCACCACGCCCATGGTAGTACAGCACTCAAATTGTTTCTACGTGCAGCAGCCTTGTTGGCCAAGGTTTGTGTTTCAAAGTTATAGAGTTGAGAGAGGGTTATAACCACTATTAAATAGCCTCCTCATCTGTAGTGGCTTTCTCGGCCTTGAGAAGGTAAACAAAAAAAAAAACATGATATATATTTATAACCTATAATATATAAACTATTTCATTAATTTGATTCTTGTTTCATTCAAATCTAATATGTTGTTTTTATTTGTTTCTTATAATTTTATTTATTTAAAGTTTTACCCTGCATAGTATTTATAATTAAAATTAGTTCTTTGTTTTCTATTTTTCCATTTAGATTAAAATTGAAATATTTACTGTTTTAGGCATCATATTATTTTTTAACTATTTAAAATTTAAGTAACATCAATTAAGATGGTCATTCCATATCAAATCACCTAATGGTCCCCGGGTACCACCTCAAATTTACTTTAAATCTTGACCACAGCTTTTATGAAAAAAACACTATCCTGAAAATTTCAGCTTGATTGACCACACCATTCAAAAGTTATAATTGAATAAATATTGACCAAAATCAGAAAAATTTTAGTATCTGGAGCTTACAGTAGATTTTATCAATTTTTAACAGGTCATAAATAAAATAGATGATCTTTTTAAATAAAATAGATGATCACCTGAAATATTTAAGGATAATAGTTTTTCACCCAAATTATCTATTTTTATAGGTGTTTTTGACAGATTTTAAACAATTTTTGAGTTCTTGTAATTGTATTTTAGAAACTATAATGTGCTACAGTTCACAGGGCTCCCACTATTAAAACTGTGGCTAAAAGTAAGGTTTTTAAGGAGATTTAAGGAGATATTTTCCTAATATTTAAGAAGATTTGGTTGCAAACAACAATTTTTTGAAAGAAAAAGTAAGGAGAATTAATGAGAAAACGATTACATTAAAAACAGAATCTTTTTTTTTTCAATAAATTTTAAATATATTATAATTTATTATATATATTTATTTATAATAATTTAAATTATTATAAATTTAAATTATTATAAATTAATATATTACTTGATGTATATATAAATATAATTATATATTTTTTTCAGGGACATTATCTTGTGAATTTTTCAGATTCATAAATTTCAATGACTTTTTGTTTAACAATATCTTCCAAAGGCTGTCCTATTTTAACCTCAGGTTTAGCAAGTATTCCTTTTTCATTTTTCAACTTTCGAGCTTTCTTAACAAGATGTTCTAAAACTGAAAATGTTTTGCAAATTTTTTCAATTGACTAACTATCAGGAGTTAGTGTTAGTAGTTGAACTTTTTCATCCTTATTTTCATTTTATTTTTTATTGGATCTAACAGTTTGTCTAAATCATTACAGTTTACACATTTTTACACTTTTTCCGATACTATATCTTTTGGGTCTATATCCAATGCTGACACTACTAGATTTGTCATACTTGTTATTTTTTTAAGCTTTTTGCTTCCCATATCCTAATTTGTCGCGTTTACTTACATTTTTGAGTGGAGATATTTCCAATAAAGACACACTCTTATTAAAAACTCTCTTATCGACATCTGAGCAACTAAAAACTTTTTCAGCAACTTCATCTTGACTAACTTCTGTAAATTTTTCAAGTTTGAATTCATTCATACAGTTAATACAAACTTCAAAAAAAAACAAAAATTCATTCATTTTTAAATCTTAAGTTGATTTGCTTGTTGATTTTACACAATCCTTGACACAATTATTGACTTTACACAATCCTTGACACAATTATTGACTTTACACAATCCCTTGATAATTTTTTCTTGTGGACTTTAAATGGAACACAAAAGTATTTTTAAAGTGTTTCATATCTAGAAATAGGCTTTTTCATGGTGAAAACATATCTCCTCATTTGGTTTGAATGTGTATCCTTTGAATTAAAACTTTAATATCAGTATCTTTTAGTCTTATTCTTCCTACCATTCTAAAATATGACATTTTATCACAATCTTTATTTAAAACTCTTCCCACACAACATTTCTCTGACATTTTTTACTAATCTAAAAACATTAAAATCGAGGGTTAAACATGTAACATTATAATCTTAAAAAAAACTTCTATATTTTTCCAGTGATAAAATCATAGCGATAAAATCAGTAAAAATGAAATCTCAAGTACAAATGTGATTAAAACTGTCTAAAATGCAACCAATAAACAATTTCTACATATAACTATTTCTGCATATATAAAACTTTTTGATTTGGTTCTTGCATTATTAAAAACTAAAATAATAAAATCCAGAAAATACTGCGCAGAGATTTTAATACAAACTTTTGAAGCAATTGAAGTATTTTACACTCAGAGTGTATAATATATCAAATAAAGTTAAGACACTGATAATGTTATTTTAGGAAAAAACTTTTTTTGATGATTGTCTATATATAGAACCTTGCCAGTAAAAAGTTTCATAATTTATTTTAACTATCCACGCTACTTTCTATGCCTACAAAGTGAATGTAATTTATTGTATTTTTTTAAGAAAGTGATATTTTAACAAACTACTGCAAGTGCTAAAATAACTTTTAACACATAATTTTAATTTTTTCCACAAGTGGTTACTCTAAGTACACAAAAGTAACAAAAAATTGGCACAGCTTGTCTGTTGGTATTGAACTGTAGCACATTACACTTTCCAAAAATTTTTTATAATATTGTGTTATTTAGCAACTTTGAGATAAAAGAACTCAAATATTGTTTAAAATTAGTCAAAAACACTTATAAAAATAGATAATTTGAGTGAAAAACTATTACCCTTGAATATTTCAGGTCATCTATTTTATTTAAAAAGTTATGATCTGATAAAAATTGATAAAATCTACTGTAAGCTCCAGATACTCAAATTTATTCGATTTTGGTCAATATTTATTCAATTATAACTTTTGAACGGCTTGGTCAATCAAGCTGAATTTTTCAGGAATAGGTTTTTTTCATAAAAGCTGTGGGTGGTCAAAATTTGAAGCAAATTTGAGGTGGTATCCTGGGGCACTTTTGAAAAACTAGGTGATTTCATATGGAATAACCCAAAACTATTCTCAGGACAGGTAACATTTTTGATAAAAAAAGAGCTTGTTTGTTGCCCAAAACTGGATAGTAACTCTTTTTGCACCACAATATTCCTAAATTTCTAGAAATCCTTCATAATTGATTACTGTGAATAAAATAACATTGTGTTTGTTAAGAAATTAGTACTTTTTACGTAGGTTTACCTATAGTTCTTCAATACCCTGTAGGAGAATAACTTTTTGATTTAATTTACACTGTCTTTGTCACATGTCTTAAAAAAAAGATAAAAAATAAAATCAGGCATTCCGACCTGAAATATTGTAATTCCAGCTGGAATGGGAATGACTTAAAAGTCACAAATTCCAGCCGGAACGGAATTCCAGTACATCACTACATAATAACATTCAAAGGACAAAAAAAAAGACGAAGTTCTGGTGAATATTAAACTTTTCAATCTCATGAAATTTTGATGAGATTTAAAATCGATATATATCTAATGTAGTAAAAAAATTTTCATTAAAGACATCTTAAGGCAACTTTTTTTTAGGCAATAAATTTTGCTTTTTTTTTTTCTTTGCCAAGGTTTTAATTACTTTTTACCATACTTTTTTTGCAAAATATCAAAAAGTATGAACTTATAAGTTCATACTTTTTGATATTTGTTTTAGATCTAAACCTTGGTTTAGATCTAAAACAGAATTACAAGCACTTAGGCTACAATAAAAACCATAAGATAATTCAAAAAAAAATTAACCAATTATAATCCATTAAACCTGAGTTGAATCAAGAAGGTAGACTTTAGACTCAAATAGATTATTGTTTGTTGGTACTTTTGGTATGTCTTGTTTAGAAGTTTTAATTGACAGAGATGGTGCAACAGCATAACTTAAAACATCAATTCACTTATTTGTTATGAAATTAAGTTTTGAAACATTTAAGTTATTCTTTTATGCGCTTTTGTTCAAATACCACTCTATCATGACTCGTTTTTTTAACATTCTACTTTCCGAGAGTGCAATATTTTCTACATCCAAAGAGTGCAATATTTTCTACTACCCAAGAGTGCAATATTTTCTATTTATCAAGTGTGCAATATTTTATACTTCCCAAGAGTGCAATATTTTCTACTTCTAAAGAGTACAATATTTTCTACTTCGCAAGAGTGCAATATTTTCTACTTCCAAAGAGTGCAATATTTTCTACTTCCCAAGAGTGCAATATTTTCTACTTCCAAAGAGTGCAATATTTTCGACTTCCCAAGTATGCAATATTTTCTACTTCCAACGAGTGTAA